GATAAGAACAAAAATCAAATATATAAAATGAAACAATTTCAAATTAAATCTTAAATTTAAATACAAAGAAGCTAATAAAAAAGTTTTGGTCGGATATATTTTCAGTGGATTGGTAGGCAACTGCAAACTAATTTTTAGCTCTACTGGTCAGAGACCAGAAGAGCTTATGCAATAGTAATGCGTCCGTCGTCCGTCCGTCTGTCTGTCTGTCTGTCTGTCTGTCTGTCCGTCTGTAAACAATTTTTCAAAATGCTACTCCTCCTACAGTTTTGGTCTGATTTCAGTATAACTTTGCACACAAGTAGACTACACTAAGATACATAATTCTGTGTATCGGTTTTTGATTTCGATGAACGATGTTGCCGTTGTTACTAAAAATAAAAATTTTTGTGAAAATCATTCAAAATGCTACTCCTCCTACAGTTTTGGTCTGATTTCAATATAACTTGGCACACAAGTAGACTACACTAAGATACATAATTCTATGTATCGGTTTTTGATTTCGATGAACGGTGTTGCCGTTGTTACTAAAAATAGAAATTTTTGTGAAAATCATTCAAAATGCTACTCCTCCTACAGTTTTGATCTGATTTCAATATAACTTGGCACACAATTAAACTACACTAAGATACATAATTCTGTGTATCGGTTTTTGATTTCGATGAACGGTGTTGCCGTTGTTACTAAAAATAGAAATTTTTGTGAAAACCATTCAAAATGCTACTCCTCCTACAGTTTTGATCTGATTTCAATATAACTTGGCACACAAGTAGACTACACTAAGATACATAATTCTGTATATCGGTTTTTGATTTCGATGAACGATGTTGCCGTTGTTACTAAAAATAGAAATTTTTGTGAAAACCATTTAAAATGCTACTCCTCCTACAGTTTTGATCTGATTTCAATATAACTTGGCACACAGATAGACTACACTAAGATATATAATTCTGTGTATCAGTTTTTGATTTCGATGAACGGTGTTGCCGTTGTTACTAAAGATAGAAAAATTTGTGAAAATCATTCAAAATGCTACTCCTCCTACAGTTTTGGTCTGATTTAGATATAACTTGGCACACAAGTAGATTACACATAGATACATAATTCTATATACCGTATTTGGCCGAGTATAATACGCATTGATGTAAAATACGCACCCCCCTTTTTGAGTCTGAAACTGGGGGAAAAAACGCAGTTCGGATGTATTATACGCAACAAAAAAATTTACCAAGCGATGTTCTGAACTTTGAAAATCGCGGTAATTTGTTACAAAAATCGGCGCGAGGATTAAGTGTCAAAAATTTACTGAACACACTTTTTTTTTTTAAAATACACACTTTATAACTTATCTTAATCCTGACATTCCATATCGCGGCAATCTGGAGAAAATTATTTATTCATTTATTTCAACAAAGTACAAGATTATATTGCGTAAAAGTATTAACAGATTTTTTTAAAGAATAGTTACGGTGATTTTGAAATAATGCGTCGCCATATTCTTAGATGAAATAATTTTATTTCAACAAAGCAAGAGATATTGTCGAAAGTTTTATCAGTTGTCATATTTAATTTTGGTTCTAGATAATCATGCTGAAAATTATCTGACAATATTTTAACAGGAAACGAAATTGAAACATCAAAGTATTTATTTCTTTAAGAAGACTACGATTTTCCTCTTCTAAATCTTCGCGGATATCTTATTTTCTAAATGATACCACTTTTATTAAAAGTTTTAGCATAATTTATATTTCATTTGTCAACTCTCAATTATTTAAACAAGAGGCCGATAAGTATAAGATAAGGTAAAATTACATTTAACAAGTGTTTAATTATTTAAAGTGCCGTAATCAACACATGCTCACACATACGAAAGGTCATAAACCGACCCCCCTTTTTAACAAAGAAAATAATCAAAGCAATTAACATGGCAGTAAATAATCAGTGCTGTAACTGTAAAAACATTGCTTTGGAGTCGGTAGACATTTAATTGCCTGGAGGGGTGTTGATAGGTAATTATCATTTGACAAGCGCACGTGTGTCACAACATTGGCTTCCTTTCATTGGGACGTATGGAGGGGTGTTAAATATTGTTGCAGATTATCAATGAGTTATTTTAAACCTAAAATTAATATTTATTTTATTGTATTTCATTAAAAAATTATTTATTACTTTGTCTGGCAGATAAGGTGCATGTGCACTATCATTACGGAAACACGTGACATAAGCATGAGTTAACGTCTAAAAATAACATCGGTAATGGCGGCTTCCTCGGAGACAATCAACATGCAGCTCAAATTACTTTTAACTTACTTTTTCATGTTATTTTGGTATCAAAAGATTGTGAAAGTGACATTTTTAAGAAGCATACCTTCCAACAATAACTTTCCGAAGTTTAAAATATGGCAATAAACAAAAGAAATTGCATATGTCTCTAGGTAATACTGCGGTATGTACGTATGATAGCCGTGTTTCACCTGAAAGAAAAACTTGTCAAAATCCCATTGTGATGTAAAATACGCATCCCTTTCTCACAGTAATTTATTTTAGGAAAAAAGTGCGTATTGTATTCCCCGAAATACGGTAGCAGTTTTTGATTTCAATGAACGGTGTTGCCGTTGTTACTAAAAATAGAATTTAAAAAAAAACTTTCAAAATGCTACTCCTCCTACAGTTTTGGTCTGATTTTATTATAACTTGGCACACAAGTAGACTAAACTAAGATACATAATTCTGTTTATGGGTTTTTGATTTCAAAGTACGGTGTTGCCGTTGTTACTAAAAATTGAAATTTCTGTGAAAAACATTCAAAATGCTACTCCTCCTATAGTTTTGGTCTGATTTCAATATAACTTGGCACACAAGTAGACTACAGTAAGATACATAATTCTGTATATAGGTTTTTGTTTCAATGAACGGTGTTGCTGTTGTTACTTTAAAAAGAAATTTCTTTGAAATACATTTAAAATGCTACTCCTCCTTCAGTTTTGGTCTGATTTCAATATAACTTGGCACACAAGTAGACTACAGCAAGATACATAATTCTGTGTATCAGTTTTTGTCATTATTCTATTTATTGCTTTTGTAAAGTTTTATATCCCAACTGTTACTTTTCTCTTTCTTTATTATAAGTACAAACCAGTAGAGCTTCAGTCTCGACAGAGACTTCTGGTTATTTTAGGCCCAATATATATTTTAATGCAGTTGGGGGGGGGGATGCAAGAACACTCACTCAAATATGCAACATTATATAGAAATGAGTGAAAGTGTCACCCAAAGATTTTAGTACGTCAGATTCTTATCCAAATTCTCAGCAGGAAAAGTTCACTTGGTGTGATACATAGTTATATTGCAAAGTGGCAACAAGTTCAGATCACTTGAGATATATCTAGTTATTAAATACCGAGATCTGTGGATATTTTATTGACAATTATGTAGAAAATTACAAGATTTGTAGGTTATATAGAAGAAAAGTATTTCGATTTTTGTAGTGTGAGTCTGCAGATACTAGCTCCCATAGGTTTCATATTTCTAGATTAGGATGGCAAAGCCGAAAATCCAGGGAGAAATAGATTTATATGTGCAACATTAGAGGAGAGCTGCTTTTACGCATTATTGGATTACACTAAAATATTAAGGAATGTAAGGGGGCTCTATGGGTAAATTTTATCTGAAATCTAAATGAATAAGCAAGCAAGGTGGCAGACAATTTCCTAAGCATATTCATTAGGTTCTAATCCCACAGAAACTTTACAAGCTTCATTGTTGGCTCATGTTAGTCCAGGCTTGCCAATCTCCAGACACTGTTGATGTTTTAGTGAATAATAAAAGAGCTATAGCCCTGGTATTAGTGAATGTCTCAGATATTAATGGTTTGTTTGGGTTTTCATCCTCATCTTGCTAAAGACTCTGAAATTTCAGACCAATTATTCAATATTTTCTGATCCTGTCTGCAAATATAAGACCATACAATACACTTTATGACTTTACATTAATGGGAAAATGTTGGGGCCTGGTCGCATATGGATGAATGAACTGAAGTGATTTTCATGGAGTGTGAAGTATGGAGACTAGTTTACATTGCGATGAAGTGTGCGAATATAGAGTTTCAAGAAATCGGGTGGTCCGTCATCATTAAATATCTTGCCCCTTGGCACTTGTACCAGCAGGAACATTAATATCTTATAACATCAATGTAGAGGGGTGGGGTTAAGGGTAGTCATTTTGACCTTATCTTGACCTTTGCTTTGTTGGAATTTGGGATCTTGCAAGAACAATGCTGTTCTAATGATCCACAGTGTACAAACATATCTGCAGGGATAAGGATGGGGCTATGGGCTTTAGGGTCTTTTATCTATTAATGTTAGGAGTATAAACTTGTAAATGCTTTTATCACTGTCTCAGTTTGAGTTCTTTTGAAGTAACAATGCACACACTTGTATACCTGGTGATGGGTGAATTTACTGCCCATAAAGAAAAAATTTCATTCAAACAGATGGTTAAAGTGGATAGTCCGCAAAATTTTTCATTTATTCATTAAGACGAACATGAGGGATTATTATGGAATATCTTTTATATGAAAATATACCCTTAAACCATCATTTTAGTTACAAACTGGTAGCCAACAGCTCTTAAGAAAGCTCTGACCCAAAATCTCAATTATATAAATAAAACCCTGGCAGGCCAAGGTCTAAGTTTAAGGTGGTGGTGGTCAAAATTGAGACTACATTACTCCTCAAGGAAAGCAAAGGTTGCTTTTTACATTATGATTCAATTCAAAAATTTGGTTCCACCAAGTATTGAATATGCTTATAATTTATCACAGGCAATTTCTTCCACAGATGCAGTTGATATTTGCCAAATTCTAATGCCCAAACCAATTATATATTTTGAGAGGAAAGCATTATTTACCAAACTGTACTCAGAATTTATTGATTTAATTGCATGAACTATGGTAAGATGTAATTCATTTAAAAAAATAATTTTAATTTTTATTTTAATAGAGAGACCCCCAGTAACAGCGAGACAGACCTGTGAGAACAGTTATTATAAATGTTGTCCTGATGGGGTGACTTTTGCCAGAGGACCAAATTATGAAGGATGTCAGCAAACAGAGGCTGGGACAAGTAGCTCAGGTATGTCACAGAACTCCATAGCATCTCCACTGACAAGAAGATAATATTGATGGTGATCTTGAGGTTGAATAATATAAAACACCATTACATTTACATTACACATGGATGGTAGGGAGGATACCTGTGTCCAAATTTTGTAACCTCGAGCTGATTTATGTTACATGATGATTTGGGGGAATCTGGTTTTGGTCTATGTCTTTCTGTCTGTTAGATTGACTTAGTTTTCAGTTTGAAATTAGCTTTAACTTTGCAAGGTAACAACCTTTGAAAAGTTTAAAGTGCTAAGGCTTTCCTGTTTCACTTGTGTATTTCTTATGACAAAACTTCCTACGTTTATGACCCTTTGACCTTGACCCTTGACGTTGAAGTATGACTTGTACAGTAAAACTCGGTTATAGCGAAGTCCTGGGGACCTGTGAATTTAATTCGCTATATCCGTAATTCGTTATATCCGTATAACAAATTTGTATAACCATACATAGCGAATTCGCAATATGCATGTTTTCCTTCAAGTGTTACTACAAAATATTTTAGGGAAGCAAATATTGCAAAACATACTTTCGATAACTAAGGTTTTATTATGAATTGAATTTTATATACAGATGCTAAAAGAAATTAAAGTCAGTTCAATTTAATCAAATTTTGAGATCTTTGAAAGTTCGTTATAAAAGATGTAAATTTCATTATATTTAATCTCAACGGGACTCAAAATCAGTTCGTTATATCCGTAAATTCGTTATATCAGAGATCATTATAACCTTAAAATTTTACAAAGTTTTGTTAAGAATTTTGCCGGGGATCCAGAAAAACTTCGCTATATCTGTGAATTCGCTATATCCGTGTTCGTACTAAATGAGTTTTACTGTATTTGGGGAAAAAAACTTTAATAATGGCCTCAACTTTAGAATTGTTTATGCCAAGACCTTCAAATTTTACTATGTTGACCTTGGTCTTGAAATCTTACTTTCTGTAAGAAACTTTAATCTTGCCTATATAACTAATGAAAATTGGTGATAAGGTGCTTTCATATTTTACATGGCTATTCTTTGTGAGAATAATTTCCCTTATGTGGAATTTTAAGCTCTACTGGTCAGAGACCAGAAGAGCTTATGCGATAAATCGTTCGTTTTTTCAAAATGCTATCCTCCTACAGTTTTGGTCTAATTTCAATATAACTTGGCACACAAGTAGACTACACTAAGATACATAATTCTGTATATCGGTTTTTGATTTCGATGAACGGTGTTGCCGTGGTTAAAAAATAGAAATTTCTGTGAAATTCTTTCAAAATGCTACTTCCTACAGTTTTGGTCTAATTTCAATATAACTTGGCACACAAGTAGACTACACTTTAATTCTGTGTATCGGTTTTTGATTTCGATGAACGGTGTTGCCGTGGTTACTAAAAATAGAAATTTCTGTGAAATTCTTTCAAAATGCTACTCCTCCTACAGTTTTGGTCTGATTTCAGTATAACTTGGCACACAAGTAGAATACACTAAGATACATAAATCTGTGTATCGGTTTTTGATTTCGATGAACGGTGTTGCCGTGGTTACTAAAAATAGAAATATCTGTAAAATTGTTTCAAAATGCTACTCCTCCTACAGTTTTGGTCTGATTTCAATATAACTTGGCACACAAGTAGAATACACTAAGATACATAATTCTGTTTATCGATTTTTGATTTTGATGAACGCCTCAACTGTGAAATTCTTTTAAAATGCTAATCCTACAGTTTTGGTCTGATTTCAGCTTGGCACACAAGTAGAATACACTAAGATACATAATTCTGTGTATCGGTTTTTGATTTTGATGAACGGTGTTGCCGTGGTTACTAAAAATAGAAATTTCTGTGAAATTCTTTCAAAATGCTTCTCCTCCTACAATTTTGGTCTGATTTCAGTATAACCTGGCACACAAGTAGACTACACTAAGATACATAAACCTGTGTATCGGTTTTTGATTTCGATGAACGGTGTTGCCGTGGTTACTAAAAATAGAAATTTCTGTGAAATTCTTTCAAAATGCTTCTCCTCCTACAGTTTTGGTCTGATTTCAGTATAACTTGGCACACAAGTAGACTACACTAAGATACATAAATCTGTATATCGGTTTTTGATTTCGATGAACGGTGTTGCCGTGGTTACTAAAAATATATCTTAAAATTGTTTCAAAATGCTACTTCTCCTACAGTTTTGGTCTGATTTCAATATATCTTGGCACACAAGTAGACTACACTAAGAACATAAAGAGACTTTATCAACGATCATTATTCTATTTATTGCTGTTGTAAAGTTTCAAATCCCAGCAGCTTGAGACTTCTGGTTTACTTCATGACCTTAAAAGTTTTACCTTCCAGGTACTTTGGAAAAACTTTAACCTAGCTTGGTCAAAAATTTAGAAAAATAAGTGCTAGAATGTTCATGTTTCATTTGTGAATTCCTTTTGACAAGACCTTTCCTTGGTTTTCAATACTACTGACCTTGACCTTTGAGTTGAATTGCATTTTGGAGACTTTAATCTTATATCAATAAGCTGTCAAAGCGGGCTTAAGTGTTTCACAAAAACAACTTGTTATTTTTGTGATTGACATTTAATATGGTATTTCAGTATCATGTTTCAAGGTTGCATGTCTTATAGTCAGTTTGTTAGCAATGTATAGTAAATTGTAACTCTCAACACTTCTTTTTTATGAATTCAGATGTTTAAATACCTATTGTCAAAAAATGTTATATGATCTTGAAGGAAGGTCATGATCTTGAAAGAAGGTCAAAGTCAAAGGATGATATGGATGGGGTTGAACTATGGATAGGGGATGGGTCATCAATTTGAGTTAGTATGGTTTTATGAAAGCTTATTTTTGTTTACAAAATTCACAATTCAGGGCCACTTAATTGAATTTTAATTGTTTTGACCACACCTGAAGGTTTAAATACCTTCATTTCCACATTCGGACATCAACCTTGTATCAATTAACATTTTACAGACAGCTAATAGTTGGCTAATTTTCTCTGTTTTTGTTGTCTTTTGATAATTTGCTAATATGGGATCATCTTTCATTGCAACTTTATTTTCAATGGCATTGAAGAAGAATACCAGTGACTTCAAATGTGCCCATTTATTTGTTGTAAAAAGAATGGGTTCAAATGATTTGAACTGAACACATCAACAGGCAGAGTTTTTCACATTTGCTATAGATAGATGTATATGAGACTGTATTACTCTCTCTTAGAATACAAGTATCTTGATTAACAAGCTTACAATGTAAGTTTTTCAATGACATCACAAAAACAGCTTTGTTTATGGACCAAGGGAGCATTTTACAAATAAAAATGTTGTTATCAATAAGTTGTATACATATTGGAAGGGCTAGATTTTTGTAACTCATAGGATTGGTTTCAAGATGAAATCTTCAAATGGAATTTGGTTTCTCTAAAATGCTAGCTGTCCAGAACTTCAAACAAATTATGTCTCTCTTATTATTTATATGTGCTAAGAACATTTTATTTGCTGGGGGTAATGATAAAATGAAATTTGTTTTTGATAGGTTGCTTCATATTTTTTTATGAAAATACTAGATTTAGGATTATGAATCACCTCTCTGTACCACAAAGAAAATTTCAATACTTTTTGACATGCAAAAATTTTTGTACGAGGATGTTAAAGAAATGCAAAAAATTATACTTTAGCATAATTTATTGCCATAAAAGAATTAAATAAACTGTTGCAAGAACAGTTCAATTAACAATTTAAAAGTAAGAGAAAGAAAGAAAACTAAAAGAAGCAAAATGAACAAAAAATATGAAGAGTTCATTTTTTATTGAATCTGTTATACAATTATCAGGCAGTTGAACACAGTGCTTTTCACTGTACTAAACTGAATGGTCACATAAGAATGTCTTTTTCTGCAGACTGTCAACAGCCATCGGATTCAGGCAGAAACTGTGAGGAGGCGAAGCTAGTCATCAAGTGGTACTACAACAGAGACACCGCACGCTGTGATCGCTTCTGGTTCAGAGGGTGTGGCGGAAATGGCAACAATTTTGAAACGGAAGACGAATGTCGCCAGAAATGTAGGGGCGGTAGTCGGCCGGTCACTAGGCAACCAGTCACTAGGCAACCAGGTAGGCCAAGGACATGGTGAATGTTAATGTATTAATCCGTAAAAATGATGATATGGATCAATTAGAAAGATGCTCAGGTGTTAGAAAGTTTTCTAAGATTTAAATTAAAAGGAAAATGTGCATTTTTAATCCTGCTTTTTAACATCACTACTTGAGCAAAGCAATAAAGTAGCTCAGTACTATGAGCTATTCAGGTAGACTTTTGTATCTCTACTGTTTTGCATGGATATATCAAGCTTTGAGTGGCTATTTGTGTTCAAATAGTGTGAATTTAGATTCCATATAAACAGTGTGCTGTATGACTACTTGCATTGCATTTTGAATGATGATAGTTTAGTTAAAAGCTAATGCTGAAATGCGGCATTAAACAGTAGGTTGTAAAGGTGGATCTAAGATGTTGATCCAAGAGTTTTCATATTACAGTGGTGACTCGAGCACCAACCACACGAGCTCCGGTGTCAGGTCCGATTTGTGAGTTAGATCATGACACAGGACCCTGTAGGGAATACAAAGTACGGTGGTATTACAATAGAACGGAAGGGCGTTGTCTTCAGTTCTGGTATGGTGGATGCCAGGGAAATGGCAACCGTTTTGAAACACAGAGAGAATGTGACAACACTTGTCGTAGGGGACCAGTCACTTACCCCACTGAACGACCCCCTGTAACCCCATCTGCAGGTTAGCTGAGTGTAGTGCCTCATTATATGTATAGCCAGAGCATGGCTAAGCACTGACATCTCTTGGTCTTATATTCTATGTACTCAGTTGCAATCCATTTGTTTCTTGCAATGTATCTATACTGCAATCCATTTGTTTCCTGCAATGTATCTATTTCTTTTCCTTTGTATATTTTACTACCTCTTCTGCATTTCCAAGCTGACATATCCTTTAATTTTGCTTGCATGTATATTTCTTTCCTGTCATTTAAATTCCATACATGTATTAATTATACAGAATGAATAGTTTCTACCTTTCCTTTTCATTAATTTTACTATGCATTTTGAATTACATGACCATTCCATGACCCTTTTGTTCATATAGTTACAGTCCCCTCACAGTAGTGTCCAAATTGAATAATTAATCGTACCTGGGCATAAATTTTTAAAAAAGCATGCACCAACATTGATAACACTTTGTCCCATATTTACCAACTATGGAGAAAAATTGTGTAACGGTAAATATATTTGTTTTTAGTTGTAAGCTGAACTGAATTGCTTTGTCATCATATTACTGTCTCCTTTCCTATGAGCTTGATTTGTGTTGTTTGCCAAGCCCCAGCACTTCATGCATGAAATGATATCAAGTGCTTATGTAATTTTTGGAGGAATTCATTTTATAAGGCTTATAGAACATGCTATATTGAAACCATTTTTTGACAAGAATTTCTCAAGCAGCTGCTTTAGTTCTTTGATGTGGAGCTTAATAAGCATAAAAAAATTGCTACAATTGTGCATTAAATAGTTAAAGAGCAGCATTATATATAATATTTTTGCAAATAAAAAATCTTTTTTCCCCCAAAGCTATAATTGGCTGCAAGGAAATATAATTATTTGCATCACTCTTTGGATAATCATATATTTATAGACACCATCACAGTTCAAATAATATTTATTGAAACATAATGAGTTGTAATGCAATGGTCAGAACAATGTTTTGATTGGCTCTCCCTAGCAGACCCTTGTCAGTTACCCCCTGTGGTTGGCCGGTGTAGGGCACGCCTACAGCGGTGGTACTATAATGCACAAAACAAAGAATGTCAGCTGTTCACCTATGGTGGATGTGGCGGCAACGCCAATAACTTCAGGAATCGGATGGAATGTTTCAACAGATGCATGCCAAAAGGTACTGCATGTAAACTGCATGAAAACTGCATGGAGAAATAATTCACACACAAAAATCATCCATTCAGATTGATAATACAATGTGTATATAATGTGTGCATGTATTTTGTATGGATTTATCATGCCAAACTGTTAAGTCTTAAATATTGTATTCAATATTTTGCATCTATTTCATTCTATTTATAGGATGTATATTTTACTAACATGATTGCTTAAACAGAATGCAGTTCATTTGACAGAAGATGTATCTTATGGCTCAATTTATACTCAATTCAAATAATGAAGGAGTATATGATAATATGGCACATAATGTAATTTTTATATGCCCCTATATACTCAATCACTTAATTTTTGCATGAAAATGTTCATCTTTGTGTAAAAATTGGGTGTTTTGGTTGTACACACAGTCAAACCAAATTATGTTGTATCTGATGATACCAAGAAAAAACATCAAGACATCTGATAATTTAAGTCACTTTTTTTTCACTGTTTGGATTTCTAACATGCCTAATTGATGGAACATATACAATACTATAAATCACATTTTATTCACAAGAACTTAATTTTTATGTAATTACAGTACTGTAGGCAATTAAGACCTTTTCTTAGCGAAAATTTCATTCTCGCAAATAAATCTTTTAAAGTTTAAATGGAGCAATAAACGAAATTAAAAAAAAATGTTTCACTTACAGACACCAAACAACAATCTTGCGAAAATAAAGTGTCATGAAAATTTAAAGTGATCTACAGTTATACATGTAATGCAGATATCCACTGTATATTTGTGTGTACTGTATTTAATTACCCCAGTAGAGAAAGGAGGGAATCAAGAGTTACAAGGAAGGGAGTAGGAAGGGGGAGAGATATGATATTCAATTGATGTTGTTTTTATTTTGTGTACCCTTCTCTGGTTATACAGAAGTTGAGGAATTTTAATTTTTGCTTGTGAGTTTTGTCAATACAGATTCAGTTTTAAAGTTACTTCCAAACGAGACTGTTTCATATTTCTATATATTTTCATATATTGTTACATTTTTTTTTTTCCTTTGTATTTATATTTTTTTTCTTGTCTTTTTCAAATATATTCACATGTCACTGTTGTCTTTATACATATAAAATTTCATTTATATTTTACACATATATTGTATAATACTTTTCTAACCAGATTTGAGTGCATAATATATGTATAATAATTATATATTGTTAAAACAGGTCATATTTTTCTATTTACATTTTGCATTTTGAAATTTTAAAAGATTACACTTGGACATGTACCGATACATGTATGACCATGGCATTGTGTGATATAGATTTCAAAAAGCTGAGCAGAAATGACAAACATTTAAAATATCTCTTTTCCTTCTAAAATACATTTGATAGTTTATTTTATACAATACCGGCCCCTTATGTTGAAAAATGTGGAGGTGCAACTTTACTGTTTCAAGGTTAGGACATAAAGCTAATGTTAAATCATTTAGGAATTTATGCCTCCTCAATGTGTTTAAAGATGGTATACTCCTCAATGTTATGAGAACTTATAATGAGAATAGAGTAGTTAAAATACCCAAGTAACATTCAAAATCATGTAAAATTCTGTCATTAATTGCTTTTTCTCTCAAAAAAAATGCAATCTTCAGTCACCCCTGTGTTAAACATAAAGCTAATGTTAAATCATTTTGGATTTAATCATTTAATGTGTTTAATTTGAAAGAGCAAATGGGAAGTTAAAATACCCAAGTAACATTTAAAATCATGTAAAATTCCTTAATTGCTTTTTTCCCTAAGCTTTATTTTTGTTAAACGTTTTTCAGCTAATACAAGGGAAGTAAATCTGACATTTATTGCCTTTCATTGCTTTATTTTGAACGTTTTTCAGACATGATAAGAAACCTCCACGTGGAAGAGTCGACCTCGGACAGAATCATCGTGGCCTGGGAACCTCCACAGAACAATGACGTCCAGTCCTACACGGTAACCAAACCAGACTCCCTGTCACCAAGTCTGACAACAAACTGAAGCTTTGATTTGCTTCTTCTAGAGTTTTATGTTCTATTCTAGATCTCTTTTTTGAAGTTTTGGAATTGATTTTGACTTCAAAGTCTTACTTTTAAAAACAAGGCAGTTATTTTTCTTAAAATAAATGGTGCATATAAATGTATAATGTTTCTTTTCTTTGTGTATTCATTCTAGAAATTCAAATCCCATCGAAGAATAAAAGTGTGCCAAATTTATAATCATCTATAAATAATAGATTATTTTTAAAATACAATTTTTATTGAAGTCTACATGATATATACTTGAAAGAAGGGATAAAGAAGTCTATAAAACATCAACTAGTTCATTGAAATACCCACCCCTCTCCATCTTTTTATTGTAACAGTACGTTTGATCTGTTTTGTAGCTGGCTTACATGGGAACCAAGTACTACCGCGATACAACCAAGCAGGACCCCATGAAGGAGGTGATTCTGACCCCTGAGACAAAGAACTATACGATGCATGACTTGATGGATGGGGCTGATTACATGATCAATATGTATCCAGAGTTTAATAATGGCAGAGGGAGCGGTCCAAAGAGCAGCATCATGGCCAAGACACGAACATTAGGTATATTAATACAGGGTCAAAGCACAAATATAAGCTGCAAAAATTTTTGGGCCACATTACTTAAATAATGATATATGTAGGATAATTTAGAAGGGGCAGTTAGCCTTAAAATCTAGAAAAATCCAGAAGGAAGAACATTTACAGATGTATGTTAAAGGATTAACACTGAAAACAGCTTTATTTTTGCAATTTCTGTGTAAATGGAGAATTTCTTTTGTTCTTTTCTGACTATATTATTTATTGTGTTGATGCTGGAATGATACGCTTTGTTTGACCTGTTGTAGTGCTCTGCGATGATTCAATCTATGGCTGCTGTCCTGATGGCATTACTGCTGCGTCTGGGAAGAACTACGAGGGTTGTGACTCCGATCCCTGTAAGGTGAGGAAATTGTGTATACATATATATGTCACCAGGTTCACAGGTGTGTGAAAGTCAGTCAATATATAGGGTCTAAATAGCTCAGTGGTTAGAGCACTGGCATGGTACGCCAGAGGCCCTGGGTTTGAGTCCCATTTGAGACTTGATTTTTTACCACCTGTGACATATAAATACATTAAGGGCCCAGTTTTTTGGTTGTTTGTTTTTTGTTTTTTTTTTTGCATTACGACTTACCCTTTTCTTTATTCTTGATGTGAAAATTAATTTTGATAATTATTCCAGGGTTTTGTTTAACTTATTTAAAACAAACAGGTTGAGTGCTTCATAACTTCTCTATATTGGTTTCCAACTGATAATTTGTACCTCGTTACACTGGAAAGATCTATATTAATGTAGAAATTTGATGTAAATCAAACAAAGTGCTGGAAAAGATCTTCAAATCAATTTTTTTATTAACAGCATAAACATATACAACAAGTTTAGTCTTAAAAGAAGACATTCAGATCTGAAAATACACTTTTTAATTCTTTTTTTCAGAATTCTAGATTTGGCTGTTGTGAAGATGGAGTCAGTGAAGCCACAGGTAAAGGGATAAGTAACCATTCCATTAAAACAAAAAACTCTGTTTTATGGATAAAATGCAGCAGGGATCTTTCCTTGTTAAGAAAAATTAATATATTTGTAATTGAGGCAATTTTTGTTGGCTTGATAATACATGTATTGTAATCACTTTCCTTTTTTCAATGTTACTATATTGTTTTAGGGCCTAACTTTGAGGGTTGTGACCTTGATGGTCGACCTTCAGGGGATTTTTGCAATGAGACTGTGTATGGCTGTTGTCCAGATGGGGAAACCCCCGCCCAGGGGGCCAACCATTACGGCTGTCCTAAGGGTAAGTGTGGATCCTGGGAAAGGGCACCAGTATTAGGTCAAAATGTTTGGTAGATAAAAATTAACGATTTTAAAACTTGATTAAAAATTTCTAGTTAAAAGTTTGCAAAATGATTCGTTTTCCAATTCCAGAGCCAGAGGTGACCCCTGTTGGAGTTTGCCGAATGAAAAATGACCACGGAACCTGTACCGATTATGTTGTCAAGTGGTTTTACAATTCCACCGCTAGCCGCTGTGACCGGTTCTGGTATGGTGGCTGTGGTGGTAATGACAACCGCTTTGACGATGAAGAATCTTGCTCACGCCGGTGTGGACAGACTGGGCCAGATACAGGTGAAGGTAATGATGCTGTAGGAAAAATTAGTATTAGAGAGGTTCTTTTTTAAACATTGATTTTTCTTATATCCAAACGAAAATTACCAACACATACATGTATTGCTGATGTAGGTTATTTATTTACATGGAGCAATCCTGAACTCAAGAGAAATGAATCTTGCCCATATATGTACATAATCTGTTAAACTTTGTGAACCCATCATTTTGACTCAATCCAGGAGCTGAGGCTAATCATTAGGGTTGGATACCGTTAAGGATGAAACGGTATGATACCATACCGGTATTTTTGAAACGATACGGTATTTTTAACGGTATGGTACTATACACTGTACCTTGATAGTGAGAATCCAGGTTTATTTTAATAACAAATGTGCTTTCAATTATCACTGCTTATAACCAAACTTTCAATATTATAATCTAAAATGTGTTTGATATATTCTATTTCTATAATTAAACCTTTTATTAAATGATCAACAAAACAAATTATTCTGAATCTGTATAAAATAAAAAATAAGATTACAAACACCGCCGTCTAATTCTCTGCTAAATGACAGCTGATCGCTTCATCCGGTCGCCATTTTGCTTGGTAGCACTAAACGACGAAACATGAGAAATGGAGAGAGATGACATCACAAATTCGCAACGTTTTGCCTTTCTAATTGACAATTTCTATCAGTTTCTATTATTAAAATTGAAACAAGATTAATGTAAATATTTTTAATACGCATTGGTTTCCCTCGAATATCGGCTATAGAAAGGAAGTATCTTACTTAGTACTGACTTCGTTAATTAGCCCACCCTTTCAATGCACGGAGAATTCCATTTTGGCAAGTCTGGAATCTTTTTAAAAAAATAATATTTTAAATGTATAACAATGTTTTAAAGATTAAGAAATACCGTTATCAGTACCGGTATTAAATGAAACGGTATTTTACTGGTATTTTTTAAGTAACTATTCGGTACGGTACTGTTACCGTGTACCGGTGTCCAACCCTACTAATCATACAATGAACTGTATTCTGTGATGCAGTAACAAAGTACCAGTATTCATATATTTGTACAATGTAGATATGTTAATTCATTTTTTTTTCAATGATATTCATGTTGGCTTGCTTGAATGAATATGGTGAAGATTTATTTGTTTTTAATTCACTTAAAAAATTCATACTGTTTTTTTTCTACTCAGGTATTTATTGAATCAGACACCATTTTTCAGAGGCTTATTCCTTTTTTTCAGGCTCAAAGCCTGTCTGTGAACAGCCCAGGGTCACGGGTCCCTGTAGGGCATATTTCAAGAGGTATTATTTTAATGGGCGAGAGTGTGAAGAGTTTGTGTACGGAGGATGTCAGGGCAACGACAACAATTTCGAAACTCAGGAACAGTGCGAGTCCACCTGTGAAATCGACATCGATAACACAAAAGGAGAAGGTATGAACATAGACTTAAACATATAGTATTGAAAATGTTAATTAATGCATCCATACTAATTAATAGAAGAAATTTAATATATAATGGAACAATAACATACTATGTTCTTATTTCTCCAGATCGAGGTATGATGGATACACACATTTACCTTACATACGCCATTCCTCGTAGTATTTTTTTCACTGGCTACATTTGTAATTGTTTAAAATTATAATTTCAATTTAATTGTAAACACATATTTAACTTTTTTTTGGTTTTTTTTTAATTAAGTAAAGAGATATGTGCATCACATTTATCTATATTAATTTTCTTTTATTTTATTATTTTTATTTTTATTTGCTAGTCTGATCCCTTGCAGCCATTAAAATTTATAGGAATCAATCAGATGTTATTTTGCAATATTGTGTCATTGTGCGAGATCATCATTTAAGCTTATATATTTAATCAGATCATCTTTGCTTCAGCAAATGGCTTTATGCACCAATATATTTATCAATTTTGCAGTATTTACAAGGTGTTGTTGATATTGTGATTTATTCAGTACATACTTTGCAAAAAATGTGTATTTCAGACGTTTGTCTTATTTGAAACTTTCTTAAAGATTTCAGCCTCTCACGTACCTGATAAAGGCTATGAGCTATATTCTGAGAAAATCATCAGTACCTGTTGAACATGACAATGATGAAATGTGTATTTTTAGAAACTTGTCAGCAGTCCATGGACACAGGGCCCTGCCGGGGTAACATCCCAAGATGGTACTACGATACCCCATCCAAACAGTGCCTAGAATTCAATTACGGAGGTTGCCAAGGAAACACAAACAATTTCGAGACCCGAGAGGAATGTCAGAAATCGTGTGCTTCTGATAGCGGCTCAGGAGGGGAAGGTGAGTCCTAGGTGTGCAGTGAATCAATGGTATATGCAGACCTGTTTGTGTAAATTCTTATATTTTTTTGTACACTTGAATTGTATTTGTTGAATATTTTCTATTTATAGATCAAGATGTGTGTCGAATGACTTCCGACTCGGGGCCTTGCAGGTCGAGCATACCTCGATGGTTTTACGATTACAATCTTGGGATCTGTAAAGAATTCATTTATGGAGGTTGTAATGGAAATCAAAATAATTTCGAAACTCAACAAGAATGTGAATCTTCTTGTAGTAGACAACGTAAGTTTTGTTCTTTGTTTATACTCGTACATATCTTATTTTTTATTCGTATATCAGGATAGTACTGTTTTACCATAATAAAGGGGATAATTTACAAAACTTAACAAAAAAAGTATAAATAACTTGCTCTTAAATTTATGAATTGAAAACTGCATATTGCTATGTAACAGGGGCTTTATCCATATTTTCTAGATGTTTGTAAACCTTTTGAGACTGGACAAATTCAGTGCCTTGCCTATCACCGCCGTTACAAATATGACCCCAGTAAAGGGGATTGTGAACAGTTTATTTACGGAGGATGCCGTGGAAACTCCAACAATTTCGCAACTTTAGAGTCTTGTCGCAGAAAGTGTGCCCCTGAAGTATTACTGCAGACCACTACAGAATCCTCAATTGAAGGGAGTGGGAACCTAGAAGGTACATTAAACTTTTGTTTTTTATTCTTTTTTCCGTGGTGACAAGTTGGCAAAATTATAAATGTTTTTCCTTCTAAGTCGTGTAAAAATATGACAATTGAAATAAAAGTCATGTAAGTTATCCTTGTTTGGGAAGTTTTGAAGTTTCTATTTTATTTTTATTTCACTACTTTTTAACAGAAGAGTACTGTCACCTGCCAATGGAGAAAGGGAAGTGTAGGGCACTGATTCCGGCCTGGTACTATGATCACCTGACTGGGTTATGTAACCAGTTCGAATACGGGGGATGTGATGGAAACGACAACCGCTTCACCAGTCGCGAAGTGTGCGAATCTTCTTGTAGTCGGGACAGTAAGTTTGTTATATTTTTAATTCGATGTTGGGATAAATTTAGCCATAAAAAATTTATAAGATTTTCTGCAGGAAATGTAGAATTTAAATGGAAATGTGTAGCTGTCACTTTCATGACAAGAATTAAAGACTTGCTGACCAAAACATTTTTTTGATGGCTTAAAATTGCAAGCATGTGTAAATGTGGTCTTGCAGATGTTTGTAATTTGGATACTGAAGTTGGCAACTGCCTGGCCCTGATTCCGAGGTACACTTACAACAAAGTCACCGGGACCTGTGAATCTTTCTCCTACGGGGGCTGTGGAGGAAATGCCAATAATTTCGATTCTTTAGAGGCTTGCAACAGAAAATGTGGACAAACTGGTAAATATAGATTAAAGGATAACAAAGATGTGAACTCTAACAAAGATGTGAACTCTAAAGTTTTTGATGAAGGAAGATTTTTAAATAAAATTGTGATTTATGTTACATTTATTTATTTTACTTTACTATAGAAGAAGGTATCGTGACCTTAAAAAAACTTTGTGCTTAGTCGATGTGCATTTCTGTGAAGCTGATATATCTATGGATTGACCTCATTAAAGGGCTATATTTATATAATATCACTTTCATATTTTAGAAAAATAAATGGCCAAATTTTATTGAAACTGTACCTTGTTCTTTGGCATAAAGTTTGATCATTGCAGTAAATTGAACTAAGTTTCACTAAAATACCACCACCTACAAATCAACAAGTTGATAATCATGACATGTATGAAATCTATTTTTCCTTTAAGTGCCGTCCTGCTCTAACCAGGAATTCCAGTGTGGCAATGGGCAGTGTGTATCTATAAGGCAGCGTTGTGATGGCATACCAGACTGCACTGATCGATCTGACGAGGATTCAAGTTTGTGTGGTAAGGGGGAATCAAGTTATTATGGATACAGTAAAAACAGTTATAACAAAGTCAATGGGATCTATGAAATTATTTCACTAAATCTGTATAGGGAATTCATTAAATTTATATAGCTGCATGGGGATCCAAGATAACTTTGCTATATCTGTGAATTCGCAATATTCGTACCAAACGAGTTTTACTGTATTATTCACTGTATGTATGCTATGCAGAACTTGGCAACATCTCAACACTGAAGCCAAATTTTAAAAATCTATGCATTCAAAATGCATCTTGGACCATTTGCATATATTTTAGTTTATTAAATTGCTGTGTATATGATGATTAATTGATATATTTTTATTTATTTGTTGTTTATTTTTTTTTTACGTATTTGTTGAATTAAGGTTCCAGATCATGCCCTGAAGGTTATTTCCGTTGCTCAGATGGCACTTGTGTTGCTGGGGCTCGCTGTGACGGCAGACAAGATTGCAGAGACAACTCGGATGAATCATCTTGTGGTAATTTAAGTTTCATATGCGTGATGTCAGATGAATTGAATATAATATTTGTGCTGATTTAAGTTTCACTTGACCTCATGACCTAGATTTCAAAGTGTGCAACACTGTAAAAATCATGCAAAATAATATTCATTTATTGCAGCTAAGTAAATCTATTTAATTTAATGTGGGCAATGTGTTCAAACTTTACACAAAGAACATAAATCAAAGGCGTACTTCCACCATATTTAACTTTTTTTAGTAAAATAGATGAAGACAGGAGAGACAACACAGATGCAATATGCCATAAATGCGCCCCAACAGAAAAAAAAACCCTATAAAATGAGGGAGCAGACTTCTCTAAATTTGCTTGTCACTTCTTTATGTATTTGATTTGTAGAACCCTCCAGATCATGCCCTGAAGGTTATTTCCGTTGCTCAGATGGCACCTGTGTTGCTGGGGGTCGCTGTGATGGCAGACAAGATTGTAGAGACAACTCGGATGAAAATCAGTGTGGTAAATTTATTTTAGATGTACCGTAATTTTCGGGTTATAGGTCGATACTTTTTTTCTCAGAACCGCTGGGTTCGCCCAATATACGAATTCGACCTTTCTAAGGCTCAAGTTTACGAAAAATGTCCCAAAATCAATAAAATTTACGTAAATTTCAGAGCAAATTTGTGCCACTTCCGTAACTTTTTTGATTATTTTTCGCAAAAAAATTTATGCCTAGGTAAACAATAAAATATTTATTCTATAGCTTTCTTACAAAATAAATTCCATTAAATATCCTTTGATGACAAAGGAAAAAACTGTGCTTCATCAAGTTAATAATTCCTCAACGTGTTATCCATTGCCATCATGCGGTAGCCATCTTGTGAAGTTAGGAAGTCCCTACCGTTTACTAAAAGTAAAACCGCAACCGTATCAAAATTTAAAATACGGAAAATTTTTCAAGATCACAAGTGTAGTGTTTTACCATTAATTGGTAGATTGATAAATTGAAATAGTATTAATTTTTTTTATTGTGACAGTCTTATATTTATTTTAATGTAAAATGAGTGAAATAAATTGTTGCCAGTCAATTCCTAAATTTAATTACCAAATAAACCGATAGTCATTACTATATATTTTTTTTATTTTATTTAATTATAATACCGGTCAAACGAACTTATTTTGAATATACCGGTACTATCATACGTATTCGGAAGTTATTAATTCATTTCTTATAAACTCTAAAGTATCGGTAAATTCACGATGTGTTTTTTTTTTATTCGCTTATTTTTTTTTTGTATAGCTAATTCTTCCATCCAATAATTTCCCCGTAGACAAGAAGTACACTGAATTACCTCTATACAAAGATTGGCTTCTAACGAATTTTAATTGTCTGACAGATAAAAGGATTTACACTGTGTACACGCAAAGATTTTAACACCTGTGTTGGTTTAATACCCGCAGGGCGTGATTAGCAAATCCACGTGCCGTTATAGGGTATTAGTGTTACACATCATTGAACAAACAAAGCCATGAAATTCATAATGACTGTCAAATTTTGGATGTACCGGTACTCTCAATTTAATTTATAAATTAAACTTACAGCGTGGTAATATTATTTCAATTCTTTACTGTTGCTTTATATATACATTCAATGGTCGTTTGCGGGTTTTAGCAAATCGCTAAAAAACAAAAATGAAAATGGCGGACATCGAAGCAATTGTCGTCCACCGGTAAATAACTACCGGGTAACTGAATAAACTATATTAGGAATGTGTCCAAGTTGTTCTGAAATCAGAATTATTATTCTTTGATCGCGGATATTTCCCGAATTATAGCTTAAAATAAGAAACGTATGTACGTGTTATTTTTGCCTCTGGTTTAACAACAGTATGAAACTACGGAGGCATTGAACAGGCAAGTTGGAGAAAAATAAGTGATAACACAATTCAATGAAGTTTTAACTACATTTTTTAAAAAAGTTTATTTAAATGCTGTACTCATTAAAATACCTGTTTGTTTTCATGATACGTTCATGTCACGGATTGCCCCGGTAATTTTAGAGGTTTACTTGTTCTGATACGTTGTATCTGCGTAAGAATCTTTAGAAAACGGGAAACAAAGCCTCGTCCTATATAGTAAGTTCGTCCTATCTTAGGATTTTTCAAAGATTAAGGCTGAAAATGAGCCTTTCGACCTATATACCCCATCGACCTATAACCCGAAAATTACGGTACATTTCCTGACACTGTTAAACATGTTACATATATCAATTATATAGCTTGCTTCATTGAACAATAAAATCTTAAGTCTTTAGTGTTTCCAGAGAAAAGATACATGATGAACAAACAAAATTAGAAATCAACTTTAGGAATTTTTTTTTCTCCTGTAGTAAAACCTTGTTTTATATGTTTGTCTCCTTCAGGTCTGAGTGCCTCCCCTACAGACGTGGATGTATCTCCATCCAGGGGAGACAGTTTCACCGTGTTACTGAGATGGAGGGCACCTGCTACCACGGGTCTGAATCCAATTGTTGGTGGGTACATGTATAGCATGTAATATGACATTGTTTAAAATATTGAGGAAGTTCTGAAAACAATTATAAATACCGTAATTTTCGGATAATAGGTCGATACTTTTTTTCTCAGAACCGCTGGGGTCGCCCAATATACGAATTCGACCTTTCTAAGGCTCAAGTTTACGAAAAATGCCCCAAAATCAATAAAATTTATGTCAATTTCAAAGCAAATCTGTGCCACTTTCATAACTTTTTTCATTATTTTACGCAGAAAAATTAATGCCCAGGAAAACAATAAAATATTTATTCTATAGCTTTCTTACAAAATAAATTCCATTAAATATCCGTTGATGACAAAGGAAAAAACTGTGCTTCATCAAGTAAATAATTCCTCAACGTGTTATCCATTGCCATCATGCGGTAGCCATCTTGTGAAGTTAGGAAGTCGCTACCGTTTACTAAAAGTAAAACCGCAACTGTATCAAAATTTAAAATACGGAAAAGCTTCTTCGTACACAAGAAGTACACTGAATTACCGCTATACAAAGATTGGCTTCTAACAGAATTTTAATTGTCTGACAGATAAAAGGATTTACACTGTGTGTACACGCAAAGGTTTTAACACCTGTGTTGGTTTAATACCCGCAGGGCATGATTAGCAAATCCACGTGCCGTTTTAGGGTATATGTGTTGCACATCATTGAACAAACAAAGCCATGAAATTCATAATGACTGTCAAATTGTGAATGTACCGGTACTCTCAATTAAATTTATAAATTAAACTTATAGCGTGGTAATATTATTTCAATTCTTTACTGTTGCTTTATATATACATGTATTCAATGGTCGTTTGCGGCTTTTGGCAAATCCCGGAAGAACAAAAATGAAAATGGCTGACATCGAAGCAATTGTCGTCCACCGGTAAATAATGTCTGAATAAAATATATTAGGAATGTGTCCAAGCTGTTCTGAAATCAGAATTATTATTCTTTGATCTCGGGTATTTCCCAAATTATAGCTGTAAAATAAGAACGTATTTACGTGTTATTTATGCCTGTGGTTTAACAACAGTATGAAACTACGGAGGCATTGAACAGGCAAGTTGGAGAAAAATAAGTAGTAACACAATTCAAAGAAGTTTTAACTACATTTTTTTAAAAACTTTATTTAAATGCTGTACTCATTAAAATACCCGTTTATTTTCTTGATACGTTCATGTCATGGAATTACCCCGGTAATTTTAGAGGTTTACCTGTTCTGATACGTTGTATCTGAGTAAGAATCTTTAGAAAACAGGAAACAAAGCCTCGTCCTATATAGTAAGTTCGTCCTATCTTAGGATTTTTCAAAAATTAAGGCTGAAAATGAGCCTTTCGACCTATATACCCCATCGACCTATTATCCGAAAATTACGGTAAGTACATTAATTTGTGTACTCTATATTTTGGGAATTCTGACATGTATGATTAACCTCTAGAAAGTATCCCACTTGAAACATTTGGTTTGAAACCCCCTCCCCCCAAATTATAATGAATAATTTTTTCAGCTACATTTATCATGTCGTGATTGATGCCTACTGTAGATTCCTAAATATATGTGTGGAATTAAATATTGCGTAAATTATTCTCGTGATTTGACCTTCAAGAGCCCTTTCGCGAAAAAAAGTACTCGCGAAAAATAAGGAATCTACAGTACTCATTCATTATTGTATAATGTGTTGAGCATCAACCTCTTTTGTCAAAATGCTTCAAAGTCTTTCCTTATGCATTAGATATCTTAACTTCTTTTTATCTATCGAAGTACAAGAAAATATACATGTAGTAGCATGTATTTTCCTCAGATTACCTGATCTCCTACACAAACAAGGAGCCTAACTCAGACAGTAGTCAGTGGTACACACAGCAGGTAGACGGAGGCCGAGAGTACGCCTACGTAACAGGACTACAGCCAGACTCCACGTACTATTTCAAGATACAGGCCAGGAACAGGATTGGTTATGGACCTTATTCTGGAACTGTCATCTATGTTGCACCATGTGAGTGTGTATTATTTGTTAAAACCCCAGTCACATTTCCAAAAATGACCAGCGGCCGACGGTTTTTGAAGCAAAAATGGGTTTCTTTGGGTTAAAGTGGGCAGTTCATCGTCTGTTTTCTTGCTCAATTTTGACCTCTTTTTTGTCGGCCGACCAATTTTGTGTCCATTGGTCCAAGTTATAATTTTTTCTGCATCGGTGCCCGATTTCTTCAATTTAAATTATCCGTCGACCAACCTTCGATCATCATCCAGCCATTGGCGGTCAGTTTATTAAGTCGGTCGTCCGTCATTCCACAATAAGGGTGTTCAAAATTTCGGCCGACAGTTAAAATCAAACTGTAGCTCAGAGCTTGATGATCGGGTGACGATTGGCTGACTTGTGAATATTAAACCTAATAAGGATACCTAGCGCAAACAAAACTTTGATGCATGGATTCATATATATATTTTTTGAACGGAAATAACATAAATTATTAATCCGTAAGATATAAAGAAATTCTAAGTATTCTTTGCTGCATAGATATGCGCCATTTGTCGTATTTATGCAATTCTATACAAAATCTTGCACACATTCTCAACATTGAGTCAGAATCTTACAAAATTCTGACTCTTTGCCTTGCAAACATTACTCACATCACCTATCTGAATATAGATCTATGAAAAATATTGCTGATTTCTAAAGAACAAGATTTTTTTTGTGTGTTCTTTATCTAAGTCATTGGTTTTCTTAGGAATTAATATGACTGCTCCGTGTCGCACGGCACTCGTGTCGGCTGATCATGTTCTTTCAGCCGACAAGACCAGAAAAATTTAGTAGCCCAACCATCGGCTTAAATGTGACCTAGGCATAACTTTTCAATTGCATACAAAAATTGGAGAGACTTGGGGTTTTTCAGTCATGAAAATAGTACAGTATGACTTTTTCTCTCATTATCTTTGTTCATTAAGAAATGTGAACTACTCTGCCACAAAATCCAAAGAACCCCTTGGGGAGAACTAGGGATTGGTTTTATCTTTTCTGAAAAATTCAATGTTAAGTATGAATTTTAAACATAACAAGATTTGAACTCCATGTTTTGCTAAGATGAGGTCAGTATCAAAGCTCTAAGTAAAGATCCTTGTCAAGCTTAACAATCATACAGTACATGTGAAGAAAATATGATTCATGAGTATATTTTGTTGATTGTCATGTGAAATTAAATTTTATCTAGATTTTGCTTTTAAAGTTCCCAAGTGCTTCAACATCAGAAACAAGTTTTACATGAAGGATGTAAAATTTCCTCTCTCCAGTTCCATTAGATATACCATTACATCACACTGAAAAGATTATTTTCATTTTTAGCATCACACTGGAATAAAGCAAAGATTATTTTCATTTTTAGCAAGGACAACCGTTGCACCCAGAAACAAAGATCCCAAGTGCCTGCTTCCAGTTGACAGAGGAAGCTGTAGTAACATGACAGTTATGTACTACTATGACCCATCTATCAGTGACTGTAGACCCTTCAGGTGGTATGGCTGTACTGGTAATGCTAACAGGTTTAGTACTGGACAGGAGTGTAGAGAAGCCTGCTGGGATAGGTACAATGTTATACCCACAGAGCGACCCAGGGTCACCACTAGACGACCTACTTATCCCACTGAGAGACCCCGCTTTACCACCCGAAGGCCCACGTACCCCACAGAGAGACCCAGAGTTACCACCCAGAGGCCTACCACCACTAGAGAGTACACCCTCAGTATGTTTATCTCTCTCTCTCTCTCTCTCTCATTTTTTTCTCTGTAAACGTGGATACTTTATTTTTCAGGATAGCCAAAAATTTGTTTTTCAAATATTGTATAAACATTTGGAAGATAAAATTTACGGAATTTTTTTTTTTGTAGTTTTCAGACTGTATATTTAATAGTTGTCACTTAAATTTCGTACATTTTCTTTTGTGAAAAATTGCAACAGTAACTCTTGAACTGCCCTTATAAAGAGTATTTAACATAAAAAACTAAAATTTTTAAATTCAGATGTGGACCTGTGTGATGAGACATCTGACAGAGGTACCTGTTCGAAGTGGGAAGTCAAGTGGTACTTCAATAAGACTGAGGGAGAGTGTCGGCAGTTCTGGTATGGAGGATGTGATGGAAACGCCAATAGGTTCGACGATGAAAGGGAGTGCCGTGAAGTCTGTATAAATAGACAGCGCCCAACACCAGGTAGGACAATGACACCGTTCAGAAAAGTCAACCTGTTTATAGGGCAACTTAAAAACCAATCAAAACTAGCTAGAGCCGCTGACCCTCGGGATCTTATACTTAACCTTCACATTTTCCATCTGCAGCAAAGAAATTATATCCTATGATCATATTTCATTTTGCTAGTTAGCTAAACTAATTAGATTGCATAATGCCATGGAAGATAATTTAAAATTTATTATTGATACACTTGATAAATTAATGAATAAAAGATATGTTGTACCCTCAAAAATATTGTACTAACAGTATATCTTAATCTTCAAAGCCCCCACAAAAGCCCCGGATGACAAAGATAACGAGATAGATGACAGGAATTGTGGGTCTCGATTCGGCTGCTGTCCCGACGGAATCACCCCAGCTAGAGATTTCTACTTCAGTAACTGCAATGGTAGGTCAGACAAGCAGCTCATGAGGTGATGTGAATAGTTTGATAAACCATTTATTTGGTAGGTCATAAGGAATTTTCATTGCCACCCTGACAAAATTGTAAAATGTTTTGATCATTTTTAAATGTGGGCTACCTGCACCATGCCATCTGAAAAACTAAATTGACTTCTATCCCACTGATTTTATCCTTGAGATTTTTCTTCTTCAGATGAAGCTGGTCCAGATACTGATGTGATTGAGGGAGATTATACATCATTGATAGAGGTGCCAGACTCTGATGTCGTAATACCGTGTAATAAATACAGATCAGGATATGGTACCATCTCATGGTACAAAGATGGGTAGGTAAATTTTTTTTCAAATAAAGTGAAAGAATATTCTTTTGTGTAATTTGTTTTATTTATGATATGTAATTGGTATTTAATTGAAATTCAAACCGAAAAGAATTGCAAGTTCAAGATGACAAAGTTTAACTGTATGTAGGAAAAGAATATAAAATTTCTACATTCAGTTTCAATACTTAAAGATTATAAAAATAATATCAAAATCTGCAGATTCCAAATAACAAAGAGTGACAGACTGGTAGTAAATCTGGATGGTTCACTATTGATTCATATGGCGACACTGGATGATAGTGGCATGTATGCCTGTCGTGTTGCAGAAATTGGATCCACCCCAGAAATAGAGAGGTTTAGACTGCAAGTAGAAGGTAAGGGTCCCCTTATGATGAATTTATAACCCAGGTTTTAAACTTTTTTGTAGAAATGTGCGTTTGGTTTCTGAAAACTGTTTTTTTTCTTTTCTCCAATTAGAATAATTCCATAACAACTTTGTACAGTCATGTATATCTTTATGTGTTTAGAAGTGGATGGGGCTATGTGTTTAATTGGGATTTTCTGTAATTGTAAACAATTTATTTAATACAGTAGTGGTAGATTTGCTTGAACTTGAATTTTCCATAAACTTTGTGACTACAAATAAACTTGGGATTATGTGTTAGTCTGAATAATTTTTTCATTCAATATTTATTAAAGCTGTGTGTTTGTCCTTGCTTATTTTCACCTTTCTAAACTGTCTTTTCATTAATTTGTCTGAAAAAGAATTAGAAATTATTTGAGTCTTAACTTTTGGAAGGGAATTGGGAGGGAGAAGGGTAGTCAAGGTGTTAAAGCTAAGTACACAAGACAAGGTATTCCCAATATATGTACCACCGGCACCCTTTTAGATGACACTCCTAACTTACCATGAAAAGTTCAGACATTTTTTAAGCTGAAAATTAGATCCACCCTGCGTTAACGTCATAATCTTTGTTGACCTTTAACCTTTGTGTAATAATATCCCTGACACCTGTGTTTGGTTTCAGCCCGTGGAGTTGCAGGTAATTACAGGCGTATAATTTATTGTCATATTTTTGGTTTCCAAATTTGACTGCAAACTAAGTAACTCACTAGTTTCAAATTAGTATATACATTTATACTGTATACTGTCAAAATTTATGCCTATGCCATTTTTTGCCTCAATTCTAAGAAAATATTTTTTTCCTATAAATTCTTTCTTTAAACTAAAGTGCCCTTTATGAAACAATGCAGTAAAAGATATGAAAATTTACACAGTATACAGTATTTTCACAAACTTTTTTTTATTTACTGTAGATTCCTAATTGTACGTGTAGAATTAATTATCGCGTAATTTCACGAGAAGCACCAAAAGCGAAATTAAATTACTCACCTTTATTTTTATGGTGCTGAAATGTATGTTAAAACTCGATCTTGATCTCCATTCGTGAATTCATATTCTCGCGATTTGCTGTTGAAGAGCCCATTCGCGATAAAAAGTACTCGCGAAAAATAAGGAATCTACAGTAGTTAACATGATAGACTATGAATGTTGTCTAAAATAATATGTATATTTTAAGTGTAGACTACATTTGCATGAGCAGTTTTAGCTTTTTTTATATTAATTAATTTAAAATGTTCTTCATGTTATAGTTACATGTATTGTGTGTATTTTATGTTGATATGAATGATGACTCTTGTCAATCCATTCTGTTCTTCTCAAAATCAACACTACATTATAGTTCAACTTTAGCATGTCTTGATTTACTCCAGTCCAGAAGTGGACAAAAATTAACATTTTTTCTAACCTTCATGTATTACTGATTTTAAGGTTGTTCTACATTTTAACTCAAAATATGTTGTAAAATTTTATTACACACATTTACCAACATGAGATGCATACCGGTAATTTAGAACTTGGAGAAAGAAAAAAAATATATGCTCATGTTTTAAAAACAAGGGATTTTGATGTTTAAAAAAAAAAGAAAATCAAGTGTATATAGTTTTGACAGAACCTCATATTCTTAGTTAATGTATATATTTTTAAGGACAACATTAAAGCAGATAAGGTTTTTATCTTTAAATCATGAAACTCTACATGATGTATAAACTCATATTTTTGAATGATCGATTTCAAATCTTTGACAATAACAAGATAAATCTTTTGTGTATACACATAATAAAATGTACTTATACTGATGCATGCATTTTACATATACATAACATATAGAAATTCAGTGTTTTTTTTTTTTTTTCAAACATACCATTTAGATTACAACAAATTTCAGAAACATATCAGCCAAAATAATTGTTCTTAGATTTAGAAATGTGAATACAAGACAAAATTGATTAAATAACTTCATTGAGAAAGAATTTGAATAGCTTATTCATGTTATTTTTGCATTCTTCATACATATTTATGAATTGATGGTAATGACTTTACAGAAGCTACAATATGATTGGTTACTTTATGGTAATATCCCATCATCATTCTTTACCCACAGCTCCTATCACAATTTTCCCGACACCAGCCATGATTGTGGTTCAGCCGGGAGCGGACGCCTTCCTCCATTGTCAGGCCTACGGTAACCCCCAGCCCCGGGTTGCCTGGTCTCGGGACGGGTACGACGTATCCAGGGACCCACGGTTCACCGTGTACCGTAACGGTACCCTGATCATACAGAGGACGATAGAACAGGACATGGGAAGCTACCTCTGTGTGGCCAGCAATGGTGTGTCCACACCGGAGCAAAGGATCGTCAAGCTACAGCTCAGAGGTAATGTAAACTCATAGGGATACATTGTTCAGCTACCGTTATTTGCATTCTTTTGGGTCACTGACATAAAATTGGTCATTGGCCATGTTTTAAATCCAAAAAGATTGGCAGGGTGTCCCACATCTGACAGTCTGTTTTAGTGTTTAGCTGTATGTTCAAATGTATTCATTTGATCAAATTCATCAAAAATGGTAACTAAGAATGGGAATTTTTATAAAACGTTTTCAAAATGCTCCTCTGTTAGATTTTTGATCTGATTTCAATTGTTTTTTTTTTAGAGTCTTTGAGGGCAAGAATTGACCGTTCAGAGGAGACAAAACGAGAGGGTGAGGCCCTTTACTTGACGTGTTCAGGCATTGGGTACCCCACTCCAACGATTTCCTGGAGGAAGAATGGGCTACCATTAACAACTGACCAGAGAATAAAAATCCAGGGGGGCAGTATGAGGATTATAAACCTGGCCCTCGAGGACACAGGCACTTACACCTGCGTGGTGAGGAATGATGAGGAGACAGTTGAGGACACTGTGTCAATTCAAGTTGTTCCATTTGGTATGTGTAAGATTTTTCTATTATGTTTGCATAGGATCATTTAGTCATGTCACTTAATGCAAAAATGATAAAGGGTTCAAGGAACCAAAATTATCTCTTGTCTTCATGCATGTACATGTACATCATATTTTTGTCAAAGAACTGTTCAATTTTACAGAATACATTTATACTATTCAACAATAGATGTTTATATGAACATTATTTTATGACCAGTACATCTGAAATCTCATGTAATATAAAAGAATTCTAAATATGTAACTTTTCATGTTCAAAGCATCAAGGTTTAAAATTATATATGAATTTTTATCAATTTTGTTGTAGATTTAGTTCCCTCAACTTGTGTAGACACAGCCAATAAAATCAAATGTTCACTGATTGTTAGCGCGCGCCTTTGCGGCCACACCCGATACTCAAAGCCTTGCTGTGAGAGCTGCCAAAGGGCGCGAGAGAAATTAATGCGACAGTCAGGAAAACGCAGGAAATGAGAAGGCACTGCCACCTTTAATACTCAGCCACTCTCTGCGTCACGCCCTAATGTAACAACACTTGTATACACTATGTAAACTAGTTTCTCCATTCTCCTCCTTATATATAATTCATTACAAATCTTAGGTTAAGCAATTTGATATGCATGTATAAGGTTACCTTTTTTGTATTTTTATAATTATATAAAAGTGTATGCTGTTAATTTGTGTATATGTCTTCTGGTCTGTTAGTACTTTGTACTAGGTATAGATCACATGAGAAATCCTTGCTTTTTTTCTGTAAAAAATCATTTTTCCCCAAGTTTAATGTGTATTCACCTTTGTCTTACTACATGCTAGCTATAGGGCTGACGGTGGCACTGAGGCCAGTTAACATTCCAAGAGAATTATTGGATCTGTATTGAGTATTATGTTAATTATATGCATGTAATCATTCTCAAGAAAAAAAAACAGATTGATACCAAAGTATGTAAATTATAATAAGCCTAATAACATTATGTAGCCATATTCCACACTTTTTTAATCTCACACTGTATAGAGAATGTTTATATAGTGAATTATTCATGTATTTTGAAATTGATATTGCCTTTGTTAGGTGAAATCGGTCAAGTGATTAGTTAATTTACAGATTATATTAAGATTGTAATTAAGGAGAGTAAAAACGAGAATGCTGGGAGACTATTCATCAGAAAACATGGATATGTTAGGAATTTTTGTGTTAAATGATGTATTTTAGCTAGCTATTCAGATTTTTAAATTGCAGTTCAAGAAAAACCATTAGATACCTCTTTCTGTGTTACTATGCAATGGTGCTCATTTAGTATTGCTTTTCTTATTAAGTCTACACCTTATACAAAAAGCAGTGTCATTTTATATTGTTTACAAAAATCTGGATTTTTAATAAATGTTGTAAATTTTCTATGTTGTCATTGTTGTCATTATATATTGGAAAACAAGCAGATTTTATGCTGACCTTTTTTTTAAGTTGACCTACATATGAAGAAGCAGCCCTCACAATGGGTGATGGTGCTTTTCAAACAACAGTTCGTAGAATAGTTGACACAAGATGTATCAACTGATAAAATTTGAGCTCCTTATTATCCTAATTATTGAGATAAAAGTGCAGAATTCCAAAAATACATGTAGTTAACAGTGACATAATTTCTGGTTGACACAATCCAAGGACCTTATAAGATCTATCAGCTCAAGAAGTATGATTCTAAAGCCCATTATTATTCAAAATATTTAGATGGCCTTAAATTACATCAGTAAGGCATGGTGAACAGCCTTTTGGCTGACATTCAAAAGACCCAGATGCATGTTTGCAAATATTGATGATTCTAAGCCTCTCAGTTTCTGAAATATTCAAATAAAACCAAATGAATAAAATCAAATGAAGTACTAAAATAGGTCTCCATGACCTACTTTTTTTACATGTAGTTGATTTACTCAGAGACCGTTGTGGCCTCAAGATACATCAGCTGACAAAGTTTGGTGATCCTAGGCTTTACATTGTCCAAAATAAGCATTTAAAATTGAAAATACCTGCAAGGACCCAAGATGCATCAACTTACTAAACCTCACAGTATCCAAAATATTAAACCAAAATGTTTTGAAGGTGATGAGCTAAATAATATACAGAAGACATTTTTGGTTGACACACTCTGCAGCACAATGATGCATCAACTGACACGTTTTGATGATCATAGGATTTATGACAAGATTTGATTATCTCAGTCCTTAAGGTGGACAAAATATCAAACTTTTCACAAAATATCATTTGGATAAACTTCGAAGTGACCTCAAGACTAGTGTACATTCTTTGCTTCAGTGTGAAGCCTTAAACAACTTTTAATCCACATTTCTTTATAGTTTCATTTTTATCTGCCCAGTGAATCCATGAGAATCCATGACTTTTGCTTTTTTTTCCCACTTATCTCCCCTTGTTCATGGGCTACATCCCTTTGGGGTAAAGATACTCTAAGAAAGAGCCATAGCTGCCTTACCGAGAAATCACCTGTTTCTGTTTATAGATACATGTACCTTTCAATTCAAAATCAAACTGCATGTAAATATTTGTGGACCACTGTTTATTTTAATAGTTGCAAGTTTGTTACATGACAATAATTTTACTTGTTCAATACTCTTATTCTAGACAAGATTGTTAGAAAATTTTAAAAATACAACAAGCTAGCAGCTATCATGACTTTGTGTCATTAAACTAGTTTAAGGCTGATTTTTCCCAAGATAATTTCAAGGTGTAATGTTGTATTATAAATCTCTTACAATATTTATACATGTATTATAAAATAATAAAAGAAAACAAGGGGAAAATGCACAGAGAGAAAAAAAATAAAATCGTAGACAAGAAACACGCACTGTGAGACTGGAACTCACGATCATGATGTCTTCAATCCAGCAATCATACCACTGCGCCACGAAGTCATGAGGATATTGTGGATAAATTTAACACAAATTGTTGAATCTTGAAATAGTTTTAGAAAAAAAATTAAATACATATTTTCAACATTTTCAATATGAAGACCACCTTTAACCAAAATTATCTAAATGTAATGATGTACAGTCTTATCCAAATAAAATTATTCAGAAGTTGTTTTTCTGGTTAAGGGTGGTATTTTGCTACAGTTTGTAATTCTTTAGGGGGGGTCCTCAGTATTTACTATATTCTCCATATAAACTGAACGATTTTTATATCTATCATATGAGGGAATTATTAATATTTGAATATTATTTTTGTGTGATTTGCTTTAAGGCATGTATAAACTAACATTGTATGACAAAATTTTGGTTAAATAATGTATTTAAAAAATCACTACTAGGGTAGGTGAATCTATCGTGACTATCAAATGCGCTATGGCTCTTTGACAAAATTGGATTCCTGAGATAATGCCCATATTCCAAGAAGTTTACTCACAAAGAACAAAATTACATAGCATGTGGGCTCAGAGGAGCTAATCAAGGGCTTTCAACCTGCTTGCTTTTGCTGGTTTATAGTCATCTCCTAATCCATTCATAACGAACATTCACTGAGCTGAGACATTTCAACATTCAATATCACACTCTTTTAATGAATAAAAAATATTTCACATTCTATGAAATTCAAATTTTCTCCCCAAGTTATTAATATCAATTAACGATCAAATTAAAATATTATTTGGACAGTATTACCCGGTAAAACATCTCAGTATTTTAGAGAACTTTAATATCTGTTATAAAGCATGCATTGTTGTTATATGTAGATGCATACTTTTATCAAATAACTTGTTACATAAACTTCTGAAGATGGCATTGGTGGACTGTCACTTTTTTAACTCTAACAGGTCCTTTTTCTCATTTCTACATACATATATACCTCTATCACAAAGCAGTTATTGCATTAGATGCTACAGATACACTCTACTAAGAAACCAAATTTTGTTTTTCTGAAACATTTTATGAACATGAAAATTAAGAGGTACATTTCTGCAAGCACAGCAAATGTCTGTTGGGGCATTTCAGATTTCATACACTCTTTATAACTGAGTAAATCTCAGGATTTGGGGTCATCTGTTTTGGTTTCACTATCGTCTGTGTTTCTCACATCTTTTGAATTATCCCCCGATTTATCCTCACTAGCTTTACTCTGTCCAGTCCTTTCACTGTCCCCTCTCTTGGGCCCCTTTGCCTCCTCCTCTGACCCTATTTCTCCTGTCTTCTCTCCATCCTCTATCCTAGCCTCCTCTCCTTGCTCCGCCTTCCCTTCTTCTCTCCGTGCGCGTTCCTCGGCCGACTCCTTCTCCACTTCATCCATGACTTTGTAAACAATATCCTGGATGTCCGGCACATCAGGTTGTGGCATATCCTTTAATTTTTCCGCATTTTTTCGTTTATCAATCATCAGTCTCACACCCGTGGCTGTTTCTCGGAGTTTTTCTCCGGGGGTCCTCAAATCCAAGTCTTCGTCTTGTGCAATAACATCGGGATCCTCACCAAACATGTCCACATTGGGATCAAAGGTGATCAGATCGTCATCTACTGGCATAAGCATGTCATCGTCAATTACCGTGGGAGGTATCACCGCTGCAGCAACTTGACGCTGTTCCGCATTCAGGAAGTTGAACAATGCACATGCTTTTTCCTGCACAAATTTAAGAAATTTTATTCAAATTGAGTGTGGATCTATTTCTACCTTTTCCAAACCATCAAGAGTTTTAAATACAGTGAAATCTGTCTTATCCAAAACCAGTGAAAACCATTTCACTGTGAATTCTGACCCATTCTATTTCAACATTCTTTAGCATTAAATCAAACTATGTAATCTGACATATTCATGTATCTGAACCACTTCCAGATGGCTGTGATTATATTTAACAACTAAAATTTCACAAAAATTAGGTTTATATTATCTCTGTGTTGTGCTTAATATTTCAAAATACATACTGTAGGTAGAACATCAAAATTAATTTTGTTGACTCTCAGATATTTCAAAGCCTCCGGACTCAGTCTCTCCATGTGAGTGCCCACTCCAATCAAGAGGATGTCTGTAAGGAGGTTAAAAGAATAATGTAACAGGCCTATTGACTACTTAGCTAGTAAATCTGGTAAATTTTCTAAAACTTCCTGTGAAAATTACAATTCACATTCCTTGTGAAATTCTAAAATCTGAATACTAAAGTACAATGTTTTTCCTTCAACCATAAAAACCTATTCCCATGTAGAAAAATGTTTTCCCCAAAGGATGAAAACCTTACCCCACAAAAATGAATGATTTACAGTATACTCACCAACTTTTGGATCAATAAGAGTAAACAAGGACAAAGAGGCTTCATTTATATCTTCTATACCCCTAACCTTTGAAAGGAAAAAATAACAAGAACAAGTTGCAAAAAAACATAATTAAATCATATAAATTTTCAGCTTAAAAGTTTGCTTTTACTTAAATTATAGAAAAGGTAGTCTTTCGAATAAGGACAAAGGAAAAGTTAATCAATATAGGCTACATAGTTAGGCAAGAATTTTTAAAAGTCTGCTAGTCAGCCCTTTTACTGGATCAAATCAAGTGTTGGACAGATCTCTCTCTGTTTAATTCTGCATAAACATTATAAGTTTACAAGACACCTATGGAACATGAAAACTAAGAATTGAGTGACATACATTCCAATGTAGAACCTCTCTTGGGAAGAACACAGTGGGTCCTATAATCCTGATGTTCTCATTGTGTAAAACAAAGCTTGATCTACTGATGGTCTTTATCATAATTTGGTCCTCCAAGTGGTCACTTAACTGGTTCAGGGTCACCTTGGCTGCATTGGCCGCACTGGACTGATCCCATCGAGCACATCTCCTGCAAATATAGATAAAACAAACTGCAATAAGGGTTGGCCAGGAAATAACAGCAGTTAGAATTACCAGTGGTAAATTACCTTTGCTAGTACTAATAAAGTCACAGTGTCAGTTTGACCATTACAGTTCATCTTGAGCAAAATTATAGGTCATAAAATGAACAACTTTCTCAAGTTTTGTATAACAGATGTTGTAAGTTGGACTATATATACCATGGAATGAATATTTTTGGATGGGTGACCATCTTGCATTACAATACTGGTGGCAACATAGTGACTGGAGTTTGATGACCTGCTTCATAAAGCTATATAGTCTAGAGCAAGGTCTTTGAGTCCATTTACAGACTTAATATCCATGCACAGCATAGATAACATTAGGTTGCCACTGCCACACACTCAGAGAGCATGGAGAGGACCTAGCTTTTCTTCAGGACTAAGCTTCCCTGGGGTGGAAGGAAGTGCATTGGACACTTAGGGTTGAACTGCTTCAGATGCGGCCCGCCAGTGAATTTATTATCTTTTCTAGTAATGTCAGACCAGTCTTTTTTTGTTTCAGACAAGAACTGCTTATGCAACTTTCTTTAGATGCAAATTACACTCTAGTTGTACTAGTCTGTTTTTGTTGTTGTTTTTTTTGCATTATGTAATCTATTAATTATAACTATACAAGAAATTACAGTGTACCACAGGGCTCACTTATCACGCTTATATTTATGTAACCATATAGTCAGACTCATATTTAATAACTCGATCATATCACAGCTTTTAAAAGAAGGAACAACTAATGAAGGATATTTATTTCATTCCTTACATTATCATTTTATGTAATGCGTCTTTTTATCAGTTTCGCATTTTATGTATAGTGAAATTATGCACCAACCTCATATGATTTGTGAGGACTTTTCTGCACAGTAAAACAAATTGTGAACGAGACATGTTTCATAAATGACCTCTCAGTTCGAAGACATACTAGCGTGTGATTCCGGAACTGGTCCGCTTTCTAGTCGTCAATTGGATTTCCAAAAGTCTCTGTTGGTTAAGCGTTTAGTGGAGATAGGATTTTCTTTATCTCATGGGAAGCATCTGACTAACATTGAAGCAACCCGAAAGCGCTCAGACGACACAAAGATTTCTTTGAAAATGAATTTATAGAATTTAAATGATGTCCTGCAGTATACTAAGAAAGCTCTACAATAGAGAGGTTGATTACTTTACAATTATATTCAGTTTATGCATGTTCTGAATAGATTTAGTGAATGATACATAACGGGTTTTGCAGTAAGAAAACTTCAAAAACTAATGTGAGAATGTTGTTCTGGCCACATGGTATTCAATCAAACTAGCAAGTCACCTCATTTTTCCAATAAATTAAAAATGAAGGAATAAAAGTATTCCAACAATCAAGTATTTTGTTGATACTACTGATTTTCATAACTATTTCTGCTCAATACCAAATCGATCAAGGGTACTGTTCTTCCCTTCACTGCTGCAGTAAAAGAGTTAGTATTTTTATTTGGATACCAAATTAATTGCCTGATATTTATGGGATTAAAGACATTGTCTCTGTGTATCCATGTCTGTCACTTATTTTCTAGGCTTAGATTGTCTTTGTGTATTAGTTGATGATCGAGTTTTAGTTTCCTTGGTATTTTAATCCCACACCCTTTCACTTTTTTTTTTTTTACACTTGATCCATTAGTTGCAAGCAGTCTCTGAAGAAGATTTCTAAATGTAAAATTAGGACTTGCCCATTTGGTTCTCAGTTGTATCAGTTGAAGAGGTACAGGAAAAATGGGGTTAACCCCATTAGGGGTTCAATAAGCAATCATTAGTCAGGTGTCTGTTGGAAATACAAGTGAAATGTTAGCTGCAAAACTGTGGTGTTATAGTTTTATATATTAGTTTTTGACCATAATGCTACAGATCCTGTAAAGGAAAAAAAAGGTGCAATTTACGGCACAGGATTTTTTGCGTAGTGTTGGGGTGAATTTCTTCTCTCTCCAGCGTTGGTCAATCAACTACATTTCACTCCCTGCTTTATAATTCATCCACCTCCCAATTCTTTATAGTTTTCTCTGAAGGCCAATAAACTCGCTTGTTCTGAATTTTGTGCCATCCAACTGCAAGATCAAAACAAGCAAGTTAATTGATCTGTAGCGACAACTATAAAGAGTGAGTAAGTAATTAAAAAAAAATACATGTTGGTTAAAGTATGTGTCTAGAATTAGGGAGTGAAGGGTAGATGATTTACCAATGCTAGAAAATGGAAAAATTCTCCCTAACAGTGTGCAGAAAATCTTGCGCCGTAAATTGCACCTTTTTTTGCGTTACAGGATCTGTAGTGTTATGGTCAAAGTCTAATATGTAAAACCACGACGCCACAGTTTTGCAACCAGTGAAATGTTTGATATTTCGATGGTCCTATTTGTCTAACTGACACAAAGTCAATAATTATTTTTTACAAAATTGGTTGACTGGGAGTTAAAAATTGGATTAAGCTTTCTAGTATGTCCATTTTGAAGTAAAATTTTGCATAATGTGTTGCATACAGCTGTAATACTAAATATAACATATTTTTTTAACACAGACCAGGGGAACAATAAAACTCCACAGGAGACAGAGACAGTGCCAGTTCTTCAATAAGATTCCCACTAGATTATGTTTCAGGCTCCCATCACTGGTGTCAGAGGAGGCATTGGAGGAGGGGTAAGGAAGATGAAGTTTACAATCATCCTTCAGTAAAAGATGTTAAGTTAAAAAAATCAATCAGATACATTTCATGATAAATTCATTTTTGATTGGATAAGGATTCCTTAATTATTATATAATTGTACATGTATTTAGAATTAATGATTATTTCCTTTAAGAAGTTGACATAGTATGTACACATATTGTTGTCTATACTAGCACCTTTTCTATGTTTAAATGTCATATTCCATTTATTCATGAGACTGATAAGATGAATTTTAGAAGGAGACGATATTGCAATTTTAATATAAATACATGTGCATCTGATAATGATATGAGGTTTTATCAAAGATTCTGTACTGTATAGTGATGATTGTAATACTGGTGGAACTTTGCCTATTATTCCACCTTCCTGAACTTTAGATATGATTGCAAGAAAAATTAAAATCAATTGAACTTCACAGGCAAAATATATCATTAAAAGTTTTTATCCGAATTCATTTTTTAGGCATGTGTTTCTGGGATTCACAAAGTGTGGTCAGTTTGTGGTGAGCTACACGACTTCTATGGATGCTGATCACCAGTCTGTGCTCCCGGTGTGTACATATGAATACAGACTACAGTGGTGGTGGTTTGTACCCAATCAGCCATTACAAAAGGTAATATTTCAACTGGAGACAAGCAAACATAATTTTACACGTACAAGCAAAAGATATTCAAATACATTTGTACACTTTGTAATTCTTTTTATTTATTTCTTTGTTTGTTTGTTTGTTTGGGTTTTTTTTGTAGGTGTCTGAAATCAAGTTGTTTGGTGAGGAAGAATTGACTGTGGATCTATACATTTCTTTTTGTGAGTGGCCATCAGACCCATGTAAGGTTCTGATATTTGGACACAGGTAAGCACCAGCAAAATCAAAAACAGTCAAACCTTGTAATCTCAAATTTGAAGGAACAGTGAAAACACTTCTGAGATATTGGAGGATTTGAGATATTGAGAATAAAATACTTCAGTAAAAATTGTTTTGGATTTATAAATCATTGAATTATCCATGGTATTTGAGACGTCCATTTTTGAGATACCAAAGTTCGCCTGTAATTAACACATACATTTGCACTATTTTGTAGGCAGGTTTTCAAAACATTTATATTTTATGTAAACTTAGTAAATCTTCAATATAAACATAAATGAGTGTCTTTGTATTCAATGGTAAATTAAACAGCCTTTTATATGTATTGAAGTGACTAAATATTCTGCTTTGTTTCAGTCTCCCAAGCCAAACACAAGATGGATGTTCCTCATGTTATATGACCATTACATCAGTACCTCCCCTCCAGAATTGTACATTCTGTCAGATTATTTCACCAGGTATGAATTGAAAAGTAAAAGTATTTCAGAAAAAACAATTTTGTAGCTATAGTTAATACACTTACCATAAAATTGATTCTAATTTGATATTCTGCAAGGCTCTTTAGCTCTAAAACCTTTTAAAGTTTGTTCATATGCTTGCTAGAACACTGTATTAATTGATATTTCTTTCAGAGTTATTCTTTTTAATCTTAAAATTACGGCTAAAGGGAGGGGGTGTGGAAGAGAGGAAATAAATGCCTTAAAGACATATTTATTTACATGACATGTACATCCATGTAAAGTAAAAGAAATTTTTTTGTGCAATTTAGATGAAGACAAAAAGCAGAAGCCAATCAAGATTCCTTGTATGAAGCATGCCTTTTCTGTTCATACGAAGTTTGAATTGACACCTCCATTTCCACCATTTGGACCAAGAACTCAATTGAAAATAGATGGAGTGGCTGTTATAAATACCGGGGACTCAATAGTAGCACTGTCAGTCAATGTGGATGGCTGTGATGAAAAGGAAACTACCTCCATAGCATTAACAGAAGTTTCTGTTCTTATTGACAATCAAAGTAAAGACCAGCTTTTAGAAAATCCCAAGCTTGAAAGTCTTAAGCAGTATTCCAGGGGACCAGTTTCACCGAGTATGTGTGAGTGTCGCCGTAAACATACAGACCCTGCCCTCTGTCTATCTCCGCATTCTGTAGATTTGATGGATGAGAGTCAGAAAGAGAACATGGATGGTGGTGTGTTAAAGGAGTACACACGTCAGCGTTCTCCGAGAGCCAGTTATATGGAGGGACCAAAGTTATGCAAGCATGGGGGGTCTTTAGTGCCTTCCTCACAAGACTGGTTAGATAATATTAATCTAATGACAGATACCTCACAAACTAGTGATGTGCTTACCCAAAATAACTCTGTGATGCAAGAGGTTCACGAAAGCGGATCTCAGGTCCACACCATTGATAAAGACAATTCTCCACTGGATTCCATAAAGTGCCTTAGGTCACCCTCAAAATGTGATAACAGTGAACTTAGTAAATGTAACACACCTCTGACAAGTATGCCTCAGAAGTCCACTTCACCAAACGAGCCCACCGACAATGCAAGATGCCCCTCCCCCAGCCAACCCACCAATTGTCGCTCCCCTGGTCCAGCCAAGTCTCCTGGGCCCCTTTACAGCCCAGCTAGTAGCCCACTTCAACCCAATCCCATCTGTAACAACTGTCTGTTAGGAAACAAGAACCCTGCCTCCTCTCAGCGGTCTTTCTTCTCTCCCTCTAACAGTGGGACCAGTACCACCAGTACCAGTAAGAGTGCAGAGAGTGTGTACTTACAGGTCAATGAGACGAGGACTGTCACCTACACTGTCCGCAAGTTTTCTCATGCCTTACAGAGTGGAAACCAGTCTCCTGGCATTGTGGAAGGTAATTTGGGAAGTCAATTAAAACTAGTAAAATTATACATTTAGATCATTAAAGGCTATCTTTAATAATGCTTCGTAGATACAAATGAATGCAGTATGCAACAAGTGTTGCATTTTAAATATTTTTTTTTGATGGATTATTTCAATATCATTTTGGTAAAACAGAATTGGCTCAGAATGAACTTTCTGGCTGTAATTTTGATTTCTGAGTATCAATAATGATGTGAGATTTTTTTTACAGAGGACTTTGATCTTGCTTATAGAAGTATACTACCTCTGGAAGTGTATGGTGACAAAGATAAGCCACTTTTTCCAGCCCACTGTAAAGAGGCATTACAGGTTACTCACAGATTTTAATTGCTAAAATACAAGTAAAAATTCTAGACCATCTGCCAAATTGGGAATTGATGTTTTTCTGATTAAATGTCTTGGTGTTATTCCATGATATTACATACTTTTTGAAATAAGGAATCTACAGTACACTTTAATACAGTATGCTTATCATTCTTGAATTGAACAATGTTAATGTGTGTGCATATATATAGGAAATGAAATACCTGAAATGTA